GACCAATAGGGATCACGCCAATCAATAACACGCTTACCGAATTGTGATTGACAGCTCGACAAGCAGGACGGTGTGAATTTCAGAGATAAGTCATTGACTGATTGAAAGTACGAACTGAGGAAGATGGATCGTTATGGTTAGAGTGATAAACGAGATCTGAACGAGAACTCGCGAGAATTGAGCAGGCATGGTAAAGAAGGGAGCGTTGTCAATGCTTATGTCATGGAATTAACAAGTAGGCGAAAAAAACTCTCCGACCCTCGTGTGTTGTAACAACTTGCTCGTATTGATATGGAATAATTGGATTACAGTGACATTTAGCTCTCCAAAATTAGTTGAGTGAACGAAATCTGACGGATTTGTGTCGCTTTAATATGACCTTGACTTAACCGAAAAACGACGCTTGTTGTTCGTTTCCGCTTGATTTAATTTGAACACAGCGCTCCTTTCGGGGTTGTCTTGTACAGGGCAAGGGTAGGTAACTCTTCTATTCGGAGTCGCTGTGGCGTTACACAACAGGAAAAGACACGACATTACATCGATATTTGAAATTCACGATATAACTGGATAACACTACACGCGGCCTGAAACCACTTTCGTTCATTCATTCATCACTTGGTTCATCAACAACTTGTGTTTCCCCTACATAAACTGTCTCCTTCACTTCGGGTTTTTCTCCCACATCCAGCTGACATGCCGTTATAAAACTGAAATACGCTTATTTACGGCGTTAAACCAAACTCAATCACTACTGCAAAGTTAAAAATATTATTGCACCTTTTGAGACAAAGTAATTAATATTGTCCCAGGCTCAATGAAATACAAACCGAACAAAGATAATTATTTGTATTATTTTTAATTTTCTTTGACATACCTATTTGAAACATTTCTTTCTCGGTTAAATTAACTTACTAAGCCTCAGCAGAGACCATATAATAGATATGGTCTCTGGCCTCAGAAAATTTATAGAAGGTCGGGTTTATAAACAGTTCAACCCTGAGTGTTTTAATATTATTTAGTATTATTTCAAAACCTACAATCGAATCGCGGCGCCTAAGACGACTAGGCCACCCGTGCCAATACATAGCTTGTAAACAAGCAAGTGATTGATATTAGGAGCAACAATATCCTATCACCGAATCTGCCACCGATGCATTATGGGACGAACAGGTCCCTGGGGACCTATTTCACCTGGGAATCCCCACGGGATTCTGCTGCAAATTTGTTTGTTTGTTTGTTTGTTGTTTAACGCCGCACTCAGCAACAGTCCATCTTTATGGCGGCGGTCTTTAAATAATCGAGGCTGGACCCGACAATCCAGTGTTTGGCATCATGAGCATCGATCAACGCAATTAGGATACGATGACATGTTCAAACAAGTCAGCGATACTGACCACCCGATCCCGTTAGTCCCTCTTACGACAAGCATAGTCGCCTTTTTACAGCAAGCATGGGTTTATGAAGACCTATTCTACCCCGGATCTTCCGTGGTCCGCTGCACATTTTACTGTATGCACCAACCATACTTTACTTCCAACTACTTGTCAAACCCATTTTGTTCTCCATGATCTTGTTTGCTTTTTTCAATTAAAATAAAATACTAGGAAATGCTGCAATCGCTTTGAACACCGTGAAGCAGGAAGTGGCTAACAAAGAAAAGGCGGAAGTTGTCCGCCATATTGAATTCAATTTCATCACCAATCAACTTGTCACCGAGGAGAAGAATGAATATGTGAATAATTTATTCCCATTACGATTTTGGTAATTATACGGGGAACAGCTGCTTTGAGGCTTTTAAGCTCCGGTTAGTCATTAACGAAAGGCGAATTATCCATAGTTTACTGGCTTTTGAAATGAGAGTTTAATAAGCCTGCCTTCCCTTCCTCCATGGCCAATCGCATTGCTGTGCGTGAATTATGAAAAACACAAGTACCAATGGGTGCTATTATTGGAAATGTTTCAAACGACGCGGGGTTCTTTTTAAAGATACGAGCCGTAATTGTGATTTACGTGACTTATCATATGTTAAGATACGCATTACTTTGCAACAGCGTTTTGTAACAGCGTAGTTCAACCTGGGACTCTTTAATCAACTTCTCAAAACACTCCGTGCCTGTGATGAAAATGTTCACTCCCGGCAGACATTATGTCAAGAATGTTGCTGATGCAGAATTAACTATCCTCTAGACATACATCATGCCATAGTGTTGAGGAGAGGGGACCCAGACTTCCAAGGGGCCGCAATTCGCTGTGCAGCTGACTGCAAGAAACCTATGATTCTGTTTCTTGGATTGTCAACCAACACCCGTGTTCTTGTTTGTTTGTTTTTTGTTTTTTTGTTGTTTAACGCCACACTCAGCAATATTCCAGCTATATGACGGCGGTCTGTAAATAATCGAGTCTGGATCAGATTATCCAGTTATTGACATCATGAGCATCGACCCACGCTACTGGGATTCGATGACATGCGTCAACCAAGTCAGCGAGCCTGACCACCCGATCCATTAAGGCGCCTCTTACGACAAGCATTGTCGCTCTTACGGTAAGCATGGTTGCTGAAGACCTATTCTACCCGGATCAACACGGGTACCGAGTTTCATTAAGGTTGTAAACGTCTAAGATCTACATCACTTCGGGCTTTCGTCAGATATATGACTGAAATACTGTTCAATGCGGCTTTAAACTCACTCACTCTCTCCCACTGATGATGCTAATGCAACATAGACGATTCAAAGCTGAACCATTAATAATGGCGTAATAAGCTAGGGGCGAAAGAGCACCCTTGTTGATGCGCTCTCTTGAAAGACGAAAGGTTGGGTTCTATTCCAATAATGGCACAACCCCCCTGGACCCACTGGACCATGGTGTATCATCGCTAAAATAGCCGTAAACCCAGTCTCACCTACTGTTCATTGGTGATTTTAATTTATTCCCCTTTCCCTAACGGTTGTTTGGGGTAATTAATGACGAAAAAACAACAGCACTGTTGTTGCTGTCTGTGTTTCTGTTGTTGTTCAGCAACAACGGAACGGTGGAGTAGCCTAGTGGTTGTAGCGTTCGCCCGTCACGCCGAACTCCCTGGTTCGATTCCACACGGGTACAACGAATGAAACCCATCCAAAGTGTCCCCTCCCTGATACGTCGGACATAATGTAAACAGCGGCATGAAAGTCATCTTCCCGAGGCAAGTGAGTTAACTGACTATAAAAGTCCAGTTTCCACCCTTGCCGAACTAGGCTGGTATTATGGAGATACATTTTGGCTGGACTAACGAGTTTATGCATAGTCCAATCAAAATCACGCACCGAAATCAGAATCCGGTTCGTAGAGTGTCATGCAGATTTCGTTCGACTGCAGGATTTGCAAAACATGTGCACCGCTGACTCGTTGTCAACAGATATTTTCTAAATCTTTTCATGTTTTTAATCAAGGTGCTCACGTGATTTGATGCACTTCGCGATGTAAGACTCGTTTTATCACAATATAGATCTTGATTATCGATCAGATCGTCTTGACTGGGCGCCACCGTTTTGTTTGAAACAAATGCAAGTGATACGAGAGGTTGAATCTGATTGGTCAATAGGAGAGGCATAGAAAGGACATAACTCGTAATAGCCACTGGTGGCGCTACGATCGAGCCCAGGAATTCAAGGGTGGAAACAGGACTTTTAAAGTCAGTTAACTCTCTTGCCTCGGGAAGATGCATGAAAGTATACTCACTCTCTCAATTACTACGAACGAGGAATTGGGACCACGGCCAGATCACAAACTGGCTTCACTCATGCTCTTTCTGAAGTTTTAGGTCATTCGTCACCATTCGCCCCTTTCCGTAACCTGCAAGAAGACACGTCCCCCAATCAATGAATGTTATGTGCGAAAATACGACAAACCAATCAGAATGCGCGTATGACTTCAAGTACTTCGGTCAAAGAATCCCGCAGGAATTATTTTTAATTTTACCCGTCTTGCGTCAAAAATATACCATAGATACAGTTAGACGTGTTCAATCATAATGTATAAATACCGTAAGTCCTGATTTGTTTGTAATAGCATCTGGAATATATGACATGGGGGAAATATAGGTGAATCATTACGCAACGAGTTGACAATACCTTTAACTAGGCCCCTCTTGCGTTAAGACGGAACCCAGTCCTAAAAATGGCCACTAGAGGGGCACGAGTCGCAATTCGGCTTGTCCCGGAATGACACGAGTTGGTCACGAATGGTTTCAGGTGCGACGTGCGACGATTTACCCTTCTGGTCACTTTGCCTCTGTTTAATGAGTGTGAAAGTAGGTGACTTGCGACGCAGCTATGCCCTGTGACTGTGTCGCTTCATGTGTTTATTCTGTGTTCAAGCTGAATTTGTTTCTATCACAGTAATAGGGGGCGTTGACAGACTGAGTGCTTCATTGGGATATAAAATTACTTCCGCCGAAAACAAATCGTGATTAAACCGAGCTCTTCATTGTATAGCAGCGTCTTTCTATCCCGATAAAGTACTGTGACTAGTGCTCCATCTTTGTTAAAACACAGCTATAAATCACGCTGTAGTAGGGCTCTTAAACTGGTCCCGCTGTTGATAAACGCTGTTGGTGAAAATCCGCAAAAATACCGGTCATAGGTGCGCATGCGCAGCGACCAATCGAATATTAATAAACATGTCTACACCTCGAAAGTTTGTTTTGATAGAATAAAATATAACAAACGACTCTCCTGATGTTTATTTTTTTTGAGAGCATTTTACAGCGTCTGCAGTCCACCTTTAGTTTTCATCAAATTCCGATGAGCATGAATGTTGTTTTGCGTCGTTAAACTTGTAGCCTGCTCGTTTCGGAAGACAGGAGCCCAGTCCATAGGGTATGCTAACCTTTTAGAGTGTATATCAAGATAGAGATACATTTCACGTGATCGAACGGCGATCTTTCATTGGACAAGAGACTAAAATTGTGTTTTGATATGGTATGTAGCTATTTCACAAGTTGTTTCGTTTCGTTTCAGTGACCCTTGCCGCCCAGGATCCGACTTTTGAGACACCCGTGGTTAATGTGACAGTCGTTGAAGGCGCGACGGCGGTGTTGCCATGTAAAGTCAGTCACCTGGGACGTCACAAGGTAGGCAACTGCGTCACTTCCGGGAGGGTGGGTGTTGGGTGAGTTTATATTCTGCAGGGAGAGGGGTGGTGGATCATTAGGGTCTTATGCAATCAATTTCACCAGTCTTTACCCTCCAAATATAGAGACGCAGTGCATTTTTTGAATACTGCCTTGTTATGTACAGGGACCGTGAAGATCCGGGGTAGAATAGGTCTCTAGCAACCCGTGCTTGCCGTAAAGGCGACTATGCTTGTCGTAAGAGGCGACTAACGAGGTCGGGTGGTCAGGCTCGCTGATTTGGTTGATGCATGTCAATATCCTAGTTGCGTGGATCGATGCTCATGATGCTAATCACTGGATTCTCTGGTCCAGACTCAGTTATATACAGACCGCCGTCATATAGCTGGAATATTGCTGAGTGCGGCGTTAAAGAACAAACAACACATGTCATGCATAACAAGTGGGTAGAGGTGAGCCTAGTCTTGAAGTGTCCAATCGTTGATAGCACCGCCGGTCTCACATTAGTAGTCGGTTTCCCCGTTGTGATTTGGCTGAAATGATATTGTTCAAAGCGGCGTAAAACAATATTCATTAAATCCCTCAACCCCATGTGTGTGTGTACCGTTGCAGGTAGCGTGGACTGACCAGTGGTCAACGCTTCTGGCGTTCATGGACACGAGAATTATCGACGATGAACGTATCTCCGTGGACCGACCTTTCGGCAACGACTGGAACCTGCACATCTCGGGGGTGAAGCTCGATGACCAGGGTATTTACAACTGTCAGCTTAACACCAAGCCGGTCAAGATACAAACAGTCGTCCTAAATATACTTGGTGAGTGACTGCTTGAAGTCATGTGACAGACTGATGGTGGTAACAACTGACTGATGACGGTAACAGCTGATTGGTGACGGTAACAACTGATAAGTGACGTAACTACTGAATGAATACGGTAACTACTGATTGATGACGGTAACAACTGATTGGTGACGGAAACAGCTGATTGATGACGGTAACAACTGATTGATGACGGTAACAACTGAATGAATACGGTAACAACTGATTGGTGACGGTAACGACTGATTGGTGACGGTAACGGCTGATTGATGACGGTAACAACTGATAAGTGAGGTTAACAGCTGATGGATGACGGTAACAACTGATTAATGACGGTAACAACTGATTGGTGACGGTAACAACTGATTAATGACGGTAACAGCTGATGGATGACGGTAACAGCTAATGGATGACGGTAGCGGCTGATTGATGATGGTAACAGCTGATTGATGATGGTAACACCTGATGATGACGGTAACACCTGATGGATGACGGTAACAATTGATTAATGACGGTAAGAGCTGATTAATGACGGTAAGAGCTGATTGATGAAGGTAAGAGCTGATTGATGACGGTAACAACTGATTAATGAGTGTAACGACTCATTGATGACGGGAATAATTGAATGATGACGGTAACAACTCATTGATGACGGTAACAACTCATTGATGACGGTAACAGCTGATTGATGACGGTAACAACTGATTAATGAGGGTAACGACTCATTGATGACGGCAATAATTGAATGATGACGGTAACAACTCATTGATGACGGTAACAGCTGATTGATGACGGTAACAACTGATTAATGAGGGTAACGACTCATTGATGACGGCAATAATTGAATGATGATGGTAACAACTCATTGATGACGGTAACAACCGATTGATGACGGTAACAGCTGATTGGTGACGGTAATAATTGATTAATGACGGTAAGAGCTGATTGATGAAGGTAAGAGCTGATTGATGACGGTAACAACTGATTAATGAGGGTAACGACTCATTGATGACGGGAATAATTGAATGATGATGGTAACAACTCATTGATGACGGTAACAACTCATTGATGTCGGTTACAACTGATTGATGACGGAACAGCTGATTGGTGACGGTAACAAGTGATTTGTGACGGTAACGTCTGATTGGTGACAGTAACGTCTGATTTGTGCCGGTAACAAGTGATTGGTGACGGTAAAAAACTAATTGGTGACGGTAACAACTAATTGAAGTAAGAATTGACTGAAATATTGGTACAACTCGTTTGAGTGGAGTAAGGTAACAATTGAATGAAGTAAGGTAACAATTGAATGAAATACGGTAACAATTGAATGAAGTAAGGTAACAATTGAATGAAGTATGGTAACTATTGAATGAAGTACGGTAACAATTGAATGAAGTAAGGTAACAATTGAATGCAGTATTGTAACAATTGAATGAAGTATGGTAACAATTGAATGAAATACGGTAACAATTGAATGAAGTATGGTAACAATTGAATGAAGTATGGTAACAATTGAATGAAGTAAGGTAACAATTGAATGAAGTATGGTAACAATTGAATGAAGTAAGGTTACAATTGAGTGAAGTATGGTAACTATTGAATGAAGTACGGTAACAATTGAATGAAGTAAAGAAACAATTGAATGAAGTAAGGTAACAATTGAATGAAGTAATGAAACAATTGAATGAAGTAAGGTAACAATTGAATGCAGTATGGTAACAATTGAATGAAGTATGTTAACAATTGAATGAAATACGGTAACAATTGAATGAAGTATGGTAACAATTGAATGAAGTATGGTAACAATTGAATGAAGTAAGGTAACAATTGAATGAAGTATGGTAACAATTGAATGAAGTAAGGTAACAATTGAGTGAAGTACGGTTACCATTGAATGAAGTACGGTAACAATTGAATGAAGTAAGGTAACAATTGAATGAAGTACGGTAACCATTGAATGAAGTAAGGTTACAATTGAATGAAGTACGGTAACAATTGAATGAAGTAAAGAAACAATTGAATGAAGTAAGGTAACAATTGAATGAACAATAATAACAACTGATTAAAATAGGTAATAACTGAAGTAATTATTATAATTGATTGGAGAGGGAATCAATGGATTTACAAAGGATTACCATGGAGTAACATCGGATAACAACTGAAGGCAACAATTGATTTGAGTAAAGGTTGACTGAAGTAACGGTAACGATTGATCACTTGACTGCAGTTTGGGTAGATATCATCGAGTGAGTGAGTGAGTTAGATTTAACGCCGCTTTAAACAGTATTCCAGTTATATCGCGGCGTGTCAGCTTAATGTGGGAGGAAAGCTTGAAGTGATGCTGGTCTCAGACGTTTACCACTTCGGTGAAACCCACGAGCACGGGTATGGTGCTGACAAACCTAGAAACATAATCGCGGCGGGCCGGGATTCGAACCCACAATCATAGGTTTCTGGCGATCCCATGGGACGCAACTCTGCACAGCGAATCGCGGCGCCTTAGACGACTGGGCCCCCCGGCCCCCTGATATTATCGAAATAGAGGTTGCGATTGAAGTGAGGTTATACTACCCGAACAGTGGTACGACGGATTGTAGAATTGTCACGTGACAGGTTAATGCAGAAAGGTAACAATAATTGATTAAACAATTGACCCAGGTAAAAAATAAATAAGCGTACCGTCGACTGCCCCGGCATGCTGAGAGCAGTTGTCAACATAAACATTGATTTTAAAAACAACTTTTAACCAATAAAAATGATGTAAATGTAATTCTACTTACAGTTCCTCCGAGGATCTTGGGGGCGCAGTCGGATACGGAGGTTGTGGTAAACGAGGGGCTGTCGGTCAGTCTGTCCTGCAATGTGTCCGGAATACCTCGGCCCACGGTCATGTGGTACAAAAAACCCACACAAATAGGTCAAACGAAAGAGAGTGAGTTCTGCCCAGCAACATCTAGTAAGCGTTCTTACAGTGACCAGTTCCTGCACGTAGACCTCTAGGCTGTCCTGCACCTTGACCGGATTACCTCCCTTTGACCTTCCTTCTGAACATTCGGAACACTTCGGGATGTTCCGTTCAGAATTAGTTCCGAGTGTTCTGATTGGTTGTTAAACCGACTTCTGCTATTGCTTCTTGTAACAACTGGTTTGATTGGATCGTGGATATAACGTTGTCTTTTTCGTTGGTGATCGACTTCTTTACTCTAAGTCTTGAGTATTAGCGTGCATATTCTTTGCTTTACATGTCAGTGGGATATAGACGGTAATTAATCTCAAACTTGTGAGAAGAGTTGTGAACATTTTAATGCATATGGAAATATGCAGTTTTCAAACAAACCACAAAAAACACCCCAGGAAGCCAAGAGGAAATGAAACACGTAATGTTCAGTATAATAATTAGATTTCTTTATCAATCATATATCATTACCAGACCTTATAATGTTCACAAGGGAGATAACAAAAGTTCACAAGGGAGATAACTTCTTTTACAATCTCAAAAACCGGACCTGTCTAAACTGGACAAAAAGTCCGGTTTATGCAGGTTCCACTGCATCCTAATACCATACTATCAGACTCTAAGTCGACAGTCAAATAACGTATATGTTGAACTAATATTACTACGTACGTCATGACGGAAATAGGTGTTGCCTCAAGGGTTTGCGAGACAAGGACAGATAACTCCTTAATATCCTCTAGACAAGGACAGATAACTCCTTGGTATCCTCTTCCGTTATGTATGTAGTGTTTTCCGCTCAGTTGTCTTTATTCTGTTCACCTTATGTTGCAGACGTGCCTCAGTTATCTAACAAACCCTTCTGGCCTAATATATGCATCCCCTGCTTAGAGTCATGTAGACTACTGTGTTTGGTTTGGTGTAGTTAAGAAATAACCAGTCAATGTCTTTTTTAGCCTTGCCGTGTGATTGTGTTAAACTGGGTGCCTGTATCCCAGAAAAGCGCCACGGCGGCCGCGCATTGTCACGACACCAGTTGTGGATGCACACATATTTTCATCAATTTAAACTTGAAAATATTTTAGGGGCGTGTGTTAAAATTGAAATTGTTCCTTCAAATATTCAAACACAATTGCTTTGAAGGAATAGACATGTCAGCCTGTCCAGTTCTATTTACCCCACTCATTGCATTGCAGTCTACAAGAGCAATTGTTGTTGTTTTTCATAAAGACATCATATGATAGTCGTATTTGCCTTTCAAACAAAATTTAAAATCCTTCGTGAAAACGTTCAAACATCATAAACTAGTAGGTCTACGGTGGCCCACAAGGGACATGGAGTCTGTTTTTCAATATTTTGATATTTCTCTAACTGTTATCGTTACCTTTTGCAAATTAACACTATTTGTGATACAAATATGTGATAAATCATGTATAAAGAAGATATTGAATCGCTGAAAAGTGAAGCGAAAATGTCAAAAACTAAAATGAAAATGTCAAAAACTAAAACGAAAATGTCAAAAACTAAAATGAAAATGTCAAAAACAAAAACGAAAAGGTCAAAAACTAAAATAAAAATACAGAAAACTATTTACACTGCGGTGGGAATATTATCACCGCGGTGGAAATAGTTTTCTGTATTTTCATTTTAGATTTTGACATTTTCACTTCTGTTTTTTGACATTTTCGTTTTTGTTTTTGAAATTTTCATTTTAATTTTGGACATTTTCGCTTCACATTTCAGCGATTCAATAGCTACTTGAAAGTACATTTTCCATGTTTTCGGTTGTTTTTATACGTGATTTATCACATATTTGTATGACAAATCGTGTTAATTTGCAAAAGGTTACGATAAAAGTAAGTGAAATATCCATGTCCCTTATAGGTCTTAAAAAATATAAAAGGCATTTAGAAGCGATACACTTAAGGAAGAGAATTTATGGATGTCAACTTCTTTATTATGAAGGAGTAAGTATACACACTGCAACGTTCCGTTCCTCATAATAAAGATGTTGACGTCCATAAATTCTCTTCGTCATTTAAAAATATCATTGAAACGATTTAAGAATCTACTCGGAAAATTGTTACTCCGTTTCAAATCAAGCTTAAGACTGCTGTTTAAGACACTAAAGCAGCTATTTCCGGGTTCATTAATAATCCATATTAGGGAGGTGTGTTTATGTACATGTATGAAATAGACACGTGTCGATTTCGTTTGTTGCACAAAGACCACACACGCAGGTCGGTGTCAAATGTGATATGTTTGTCAACAGGAATCGGCTTCTCTGGTGAGGTTTTGATGATCCATAACGTCACTCGCTACTGCGGCGGCAAGTACGAGTGCGTGGCTGACAACGGCGTCCCCCCAGCCGTCAAACGTCAGATCAACGTGGGGGTCAAATGTAAGTAGAAGCATCACCACGCTGCACATTTGTTTGTTTGTTTGTTTGTTGTTTAACGCCGCACTCAGCAATATTCCATCCATACGACGGCGGTCTGTAAATAATCCATTCTGGACCAGACAATCCAGTGATTGACGTCATTAGCATTGATCTACGCAATTGGGATACGATGACATGCATCAACCAAGTCAGCGAGCCTGACCACCCGATCCCGTTAGTCGCCTCTTGGCGAATGGGTTGCTGAAGACCTATTTTCGCCCGGATTTTCACTGATCAAGAGATGGTGATGTGACTGTTCATCTTCTAGAGCCTCAAGAGTTGCTTAGGTTGTATACTCCCCATGGAGCTGATCATGAAAATTGAGTGCACACAGGGCTAATTATAGACATATTACGGTCTGAGCGCAATTGACCAGTTATGAAATATAAAGTGCGCTATACAAATTCATGATATCATAATCCCTTTGAGAGAATGAAGCCATCTGATTGGTCATTTACGTCCACTTGAACTCCTTTACGTCGTCCTGGACATAGAAAAAGTTCGGTTCTTCAGCTTGTGGAAGCGAGTACATTCGTCGCCACTCGCATCTTTCCGTAACTATCTTTCGGCGTGTCTCGGAATAACAGTTGTTGCACACGAATAGCCTGCGTGGACCCAAGGGCTGGCCACGGTCAAGGGGAGATAACTGCGTTTGTCGTAGAATGTTTTAAGTATCTTTAAAAGATTGAAAGGACCTGATTGGACGATATAAAAGCAAGTTTATTCAAGTAAACAATCAATGTTTAAGCGTTAGGTCACCTGAGGACAACTTGTTAGTTAAATTGTCAGTGGTGAATGATGTTTCGTAAAATATAAGGATCTTAAATTCTCACTTATCACAGCTATATGTCAGAATGATGAGATCTGATTGGTCCACGTGATCTTGATAAAATACTGCGAATCCGTCCTTGGAGGGGAATTAATTTCTCAGCGGGTGAATAAATCTCTTATACCCCGCCTCGAGCAGGTCAGGCTGCACGTGGATTTCTGAGAGGCAGAATAAATTCCTTATGCCCCGCATCAAAGCAAAACGCCGCACGCTTTTTCCGAGTCAGTGGAACAGCTGTTTTGTATCAGCTTTGAATTTGTTTGAATGTTATTTATAAACCTCCTGTGACGTCATCCTATTGTTCTCCAGTCGGGTAAAATCTCATAAATAGGGACGTTGTAATATCCCTGGGATTTTATAGGATATTCAAGTCATATTTGCTATATAATGTGTTATAATATCCCTGGGATTTTATATAATGTCCTGGGTATTTTATTAATATAACTTCCGTTCAGATTGTAACATGTAATGTAATGTAAAATCAAATGACAATATTTTCTTTATATTCCCGAGGATCGAAACGCAACCTTCATATCTGTAGCCCAGTGAGTGTAGATAAGCCGCACTGCTTTTCAGAATGTCCTTTTTAAGATCCGTACGCCAGCAACAGATATTTTACGCCCGTTTCCTAAGGTTCATGGAAAGTATGTTCGAAACATAAAAATGTTGATAAATGTTGTTTAAAGTTTCTTTTTTCGGTTTATAAGTAAGATGAAGCACTTCCCCTCGGGTTGTTATGATATTTAAAACCCTTTCCCTCGGAAAATCCCTCGGGGCAAGCCCCTTGGGATGCGGGTTTTAAATGTCATAACAACCCTCGGACGTGTTTTATCCTATACATAAAAACATGTCGGTAAGATAAATTCGTTGTAGCAGATCAGTCCGGGTAAGAGCGGTTTTATGAGTCCCGCGTTAGGTTTAATACCATGGATATCCCTCGTTATTCCGCTACAACTTATGATATTATCATGGTCAGAATTTTTAGAATATATATACTATTAACTCACTTACATGTAAATAAGACGAAACTTGAAGGGTGTCTTTTTTGTGAATTTGTCTTAGTTATAAATGCGTACTCGTGAGTGATATATACTGTTGTGTTATAAGGATCCGTAGCAGCGGCAGTCTTTCTGTCATATTGCCACGAGCGCATGAAGTTACACTGTAATTTGACCGCCTCCGTGGTCTAGTGGTAGAGCGTCCGCCCGGAGAACGGAAGGTCCAGGGTTCGATCCCAGGCCGCGTTATACCGAAAGACGTTTAAAGATGGTACTTGTTGTTACCCTGTCTGGCGCTCGGCATTAAGGGGCTAAAACAAGGACTTGTCGGCTTGAAGTCAGTATACTGTGTCTGAGTGGAGTGTTCATGTTAAACTGCGGCATGGTATCTCAGTGGGCTAGCACTATAAATCGGCATCAGCCCGGACTAGTACAAGCAACCACACACACACACACACACACACACACACACACACGTGCATGCAATTCGCTATATAAGTGCAATAATCTTTGACACGACGTTAAACCCCATTTCACCTCTCCTTCAATATAATTTACGTTTGCTATTTTCTTTGACTCGTGTACTGTAGGAAGTCATTGCCGCGTATATGATTTAATCAATGTTTGCGATGTTTATTTCCGTTCCAGTTCCGCCAGAGATTCATATTCATAACAAAAGGATTGGTCAAGTGCGAGGCAAGGATACGATCCTCGAGTGTGTGGTAACGGCGCATCCCCAGGGTGTCAGTGTGTGGAAGTTTGAAAATAGACCACTGCCCACGACCATGCAGAAGTATCGAGTGGAGGTGTTTGAGGAAGGAAGTCACACAATCACACTCAGCCTCCGGATCAGCCAATTGAGTGAAGATGATTACGGAGAATACACATGCGTAGCGTCTAATTCTATGGGCAGCGATTCTAAAAGAACGCTTCTCTACGGTAAGTGCGAGTTAAGTATTAGATTGACGGACCTGGAGCACATTTAAGCTCTGTTCGAAGAAGGGTAGTGATTACCTTAAACAACCCTGCAGCAGGATAGTGATTAACTGAAACACCCCTGAAGCCGGACAGCGATTGACTGACACATCTTGAAGCGGGATAGTGATTAACTTAAATACCTCTCAAGCAGGATAGTGATTAACTGAAACACTCCTGAATCGGGATAGTGATAAACAGAAAAAACCCTGAAGCAGGTTCGCGATTAACTGAAACATTCCGAAGCAGGGCAGTGATTAACTGAAACATCCTGAAGTAGGATAGTGATTAACTGAAACACCCCTTATGTAGGATAGTGATTAACTAAAATACCCCTCAAGCAGGATAGTAATGAACTGAAACATCCTGAGGCAGGACTGTGATTGACTGAAACATCCTGAAACAAGATCTTGATTAACTTAAATACCCTTCAAGCAGGATAGTGATTAACTGAAATACCCCTGAAGTAGGATAGTGATTAACTGAAACATCCCTGCAGTAGTATTGTGATTAACTGAAACAACCCTGAAGGAGGATAGTGATTAACTGAAACAACCCTGAAGCAGGATAGTGATTAACTGAAACATCCCTGCAGTAGGATAGTGATTAACAGAATCACCCCTGCAGTAGGATAGTGATTAACAGAATCACCCCTGCAGTAGGATAGTGATTAACTGAAACATCCCGAAGCAGGGCAGTGATTAACTGAAACAACCCTGCAGTAGGATAGTGATTAACTGAAACATCCCGAAGCAGGGCAGTGATTAACTGAAACAACCCTGAAGCAGGATAGTGATTAACTAAACCATCCCGAAGCAGGATTGTGATTAACTGAAACAACCCTGAAGCAGGATATTGATTAACTGAAACACCCATGAAGCAGGATAGTGATTAACTGAAACACCCATGAAGCAGGATAGTGATTAACTGAAACACCCCTGAAGCAGGATAGTGATTAACTGAAACACCCCTGAAGCAGGATAGTGATTAACTGAAACAACCCTGCAGTAGGATAGTGATTAACTGAAACATCCCGAAGCAGGGCAGTGATTAACTGAAACAACCCTGAAGCAGGATAGTGATTAACTAAACCATCCCGAAGCAGGATTGTGATTAACTGAAACAACCCTGAAGCAGGATATTGATTAACTGAAACACCCATGAAGCAGGATAGTGATTAACTGAAACACCCATGAAGCAGGATAGTGATTAACTGAAACACCCCTGAAGCAGGATAGTGATTAACTGAAACACCCCTGAAGCAGGATAGTGATTAACTGAAACACCCCTGAAGCAGGATTGTGATTAACGGAAACATCCCGAAGCAGGATTGTGATTAACTGAAACAACCCTGAAGCAGGATAGTGATTAACTGAAACACCCATGAAGCAGGATAGTGATTAACTGAAACACCCCTGAAGCAGGATAGTGATTAACTGGAACACCCATGAAGTAGAATAGTGATTTACTGAAACACCCATGATGCAGGATAGTGATTTACTGAAACACCCATGAAGCAGGATAGTGATTTATTGAAACACCCATGAAGTAGAATAGTGATATACAATATGGGTCCTATGCTCTTGTCCTCTGAAATGTTTTCATGTAGTTGTCTGGTAATTTTAGAATCTATGGAACTATGCCTTGGAGCTGTTTTCGGATTTTGTGGATTTAGTGAGAGTGTTAAGAACCTAGATGATGTTCCACATTTCAATCAAGTTTACCAGACCGGCACATGAAAACCCTCGTTTATCCAGACACCGGACATCCGGACACCATCACCTTCCAGACGAAAACCCCCGGGGACGTTTACATGTGTACAAAGTGACCTACCCGTGAAAATCCGGGGTAGAATAGGTCTTCAGCAACCCATGCTTGTCCCCCGTGAAGATCCGGGGTGGAATAGGTCTTCAGCAACCCATGCTTGCCGTAAAAAGCAACTATGCTTGTTCTAAGAGGCGACCAACGGGATCGGGTGGTCAGGCTCGTTGACTTGTTTGATGAATGCCATCGTATCCCAATTGCATGGATCGATGCTCATGAGGTCAGTCACTGGATTGTCTGGTCCAGACTCGATTATTTACAGACCGCCGTCATATAGCTGGAATATTGCGGAGTGCGGCGTTGGGTCACTAAAATTATATAATTTTGATAGAAACAAACAACTTTATTTAAATTGAAAAGTAGCCTCAGTGAGATGAGAGAGGAACCAGGGGAAAATGTAGACTTGCTTCATTTAGGGCTATAGTTTACAGCAAGGCTGGGCGAAAAGGGAAATGACATGGTTGAGGGTCTGTGAGACGGACCAGATTGTAGTGGAAACGCTGCCTTAGACAAACAAATCATTTCTCGTGCGATCACACGAAGCAAGGATAGACTATGAGTTTTCAATTTTCCTTTCAGAGCATATAATACCTACGAAACCACCTACGACAACTACCACGACGACGAAAGCAACAACAACGTCTTTGCGACCGACGCCCGCTAAGACGCCTGGCGCCTATGATTACGAGAACGGACCACCCGAGTACATACCCAGGCCCAAGTTAAAACAGGTCCATCCGCTACTACCAGGTAAGAAACGTTTAATCATATTCCACTCTGTCGTTTGGCTTTTAGAAGGTGATTATATATATATATATATATATATATATATATATAATAAAATAATAAAGTCCACGTTATGAAACTGATATAAAGAAGATGATGGACTAACGTGGACTTTATTATTTTATTATATATTAGATGTACACCGAGTGAACATTTACCTCATTTTTGTGTGTATATATATATATATATATATATATATATATATATATATATATATATATATATATATATATAAATAATCATCTTCATCATTATTGATATAATAATCATCATCATCATCATCAACATCATCATTATTATTATTATTATTATTATCATTATTGTTATTGTTATTGATATGGATATGAAGACAAGTTGCATGCATCCCAAACTAATGCTTGTGGTACGAGGCGACTTAATCACAAAGACAACATGTATAAGATATAATATATGTTATCTGCGCTTCCTTCATTTTGACGTATTACTAATTTCTATCAATATCATTTGTTTATTTCAACAGGCAGTAACAATGACCCGCTTGCCGTCTCCGGCTCCGCAGGAAGTAAAGGACCAGATTCAGGAGCAAAGAAAAATTCAGCTTTCATAATAGTTGTCCTGATGTGTATATTTTCTCTGATAAATCCCGTTTAAAGTGTTGTGGAATGATGATTGTATTTATCTGTACAGAATAGTATGACTATAAGATGAGTAAATGTACACTGTTTCTTGATGGCGTGCAATATGATACATAGTAAGTCCAGTAAGTAATATGTTTATTTTACGGTTATATTGTGCGGCTAAATCCTAATAATAAACATCATAATGTGTATCTCGACAAACACGTTCCAATACAGTAAACTGCGGTTATAACGAACTCAAAGGGACCACTAATTTTAGTTCGTTATAGCCGTAGTTCGGTATAAGCATATATACAGCGTATATACAGAAAATGAACGGGATCCAAACACATTTCGTTATATCCGTCAGTTCGTTATAAGCGTGTTCGTTATAAACGTAGTTTACTGAATTTGAAACATTCCGCGTTTTGTGTATTCTGGTGCTCAATTAAAATGAAAGAAGCAGAGAAGCGCTCGTAAAATGATAACGACACGTAATGTGTTGGTCGAGATTGGGATGTTGACAGTGGATGGAGGTGGAGGTATAAATACTATGACGGTAATGAAGACTGGTCGTTTATCTGGCGAGGGGTGGCTACAGCAGACTCCCTGAGGAGGCTTTAAGCTATATATTTAATGTATTTCATCGTGTTATGTGCAAATGCACGTGCAACTATTTCGTCTGAAGCTATGTGTCCTTCAGAGTGAGTGAGTGAGTGAGTATGGTTTTACGCCGCTTTTAGCAATATTCCAGCAATATCACGGCGGGGGACACCAGAAATGGGCTTCACACATTGTACCCATGTCGGGAATCGAACCCGGGTCTTCGGCGTGACGAGCGAACGCTTTAACCACTAGGCTACCCGACCGCCCCTTGTGTCCTTCAGAAATATAAGACCGTGCTATCAGTTGCAATGACAAGTAATCCTTTGTGCTCGATAAAAAAGTATCTTAATTCTTTGGATTATTTTCCGTGGCCAAGTCAAGATGGACTAATCGTAGGTTCGAATCCCAGCAGATGGTGGTCCTTGGATCGTCAGCACCAGACACGCGTGGATCGCACGGAACGCGATCTTTGAAGATGTAGCGTTATATCGGGGAAGTCATACAAGACGGTATAATAAAAAAATCTCATTCCTTTTTTTCAAATTCATCACTACATCGAAACATCCAACTACAACACTTTTAGCGGATGACCCAGAAGGTGAAACTGACGGAATTCGTAATACAGATTTACGTCCCTTAATCCTTCAAGGATGCGCTGCTCGTGGGTTCAAATCTCTGTGTATGATCGGTAGTTTATCAACACCTTTCCACTGCTCTTTAGGTAACTGAATACAAAGTTGCTTAATAACCCAACTCACTCACTAACTCGCGACTTCAGGGTGACAAAATCAAAGATCGCACAAATATTAGTCCAATCACCTGTATGGAGAGGGCACGGGTGGCCCAGTCGTCTAAGGCGCCGCGATTCGCTGTGCAGAGTTGCGTCCCCTGGTCACGCCAGAAACCTATGATTGTGGGTTCGAATCCCGGTTCACCCCGATTATGTTTCTAGGTTTGTCAGCACCATACCCGTGCTCGTTGGTTTCACCGAAGTGGTAAACATCTGAGACCTGCATCACTTCGGGCTTTCCTCCCACATTAAGCTGAAACGCCGTGATGTAACTGGAATACTGTTAAAAGCGGCGTTAAACCCAACTCACTCACTCACTCACCTGTATGGAAACAAATGAGCACATTTCTTATTGGACTTCTATTCGTTTGTATTCTATGTTCTATGATGTACATTTCTTCCGCACACAACATACCACTTGTTTATTTCAATGTCCTGGTTTGACATTTATTTCAGGAGCATGGGTTATATGAAATTCTTGTCATGTCTCGAAGAGTCAATACAAAAATATACTCCTTGTATAAATGGGTAAATAATGAGAGCATGTATAACGCAAACATAATGAATTTTCATATTTGTCTTATAATCTCATTATGATCATAATGTGTCATTAACATTACGAACACGAGTATCTGTGGGGGTGTTTGAACCTAACACAGAAAAGCACCACGCATATGTGTGTGCAGCGTTTCATATGTTTACAAGTGGGTTGTATTGGCTGGCAAGGTTATTCAATCAAGCTGCAGTCGGATATCTTCGTCATTTCCCGGAAAACCAAAACGAGGCTCGGATGTGGCGAACAATGATGAAGCTTCCGCTATTCGTTGGACGTGGAGAACTGAGGTGAAGGTCATATGGATTTCAATGTCGGATATGGGTATAACGTTGGCACAAAGCCAACAGGTGTGAACATCGTCTGGTCCTTCGTACGTTTTATGGTGTGAGTGACGACCATTGACGAGGATATTATTCTGCTTATCACCATGTTTACCAGTGTCAGCAAACGACTTTGTTCAACTGGAACCGAGAAGGGCACGAGTCACCATTCGGTTTGTTCCGGAAAGACACGAATGGTCACGAGCGAAGTTGTCGGTCCACAAAGAGCCCACATACCGTGATTTGACATCCCAAAACACAACCCACAGAGAAACGGGACGATGCGGTCAAACAATATTGATCAATATTCACATGATGATGCCAAATCGTTCGTTTTTGAGGTGAAGGTCAAAATGTTGACCAGGCGACCTGACCAAAAATCTATGACGAATGCCTAATGATTGAGTGAATTAAATGACCAGCTTTCGTCAGAGTCGAATGTATGCATGTGAGCAAGTATGTACACATTACTTAATTATTTATGAAAAGAAATATGTTCCGATATTTGTCTTTGTATTTATGACTGTTTTTCTTACCATTGTAGCTGCGTCTCATCTTTCTGACCGTGATCAAATGGTGAATTTGATAACCCCAGTTTGACAGGGGTACTTAGCATCTTTCAAATACGATCATAAAGTACTTCACGCACGACTCGAAGTCATTTTCAATACCCTCCCCTCAACTGAAGGGTTATCAGCTCTATATATTACATATTACCTATCCCTTTGCGGAAATGATTTTGAATATCGTTTTTCGTGATGTCCCACCCAGCCATGTGCGTTCCACAAAGCGGTCTTAGCTCTACGGCTATGGTAAGGGTGTGGTAGTGTATGGGAGTGGCACTGCACTAAGATCGCTTTGTGAGGACGGTCTGTGGCTTACCCTGAATCGTTAATCTTTCTTCCGGCTTTGACGACTACACACTCCCATAATCTACTCGTGTGTTACTCGACACTCACAAAATCGTCGTCAATACTTTGCGTGTTTGTATACACCAGGTTCAACCATTACGCGTGAATACAAAGGGCCGCTTTACCGTGTGGTCGCTATTTTTAGCCAACGAATCAAGCCGTTGCCTGGTTCCAGTGAGAGGGAAACTACAGAGTGATCTGACCAATCAGCGCTCAGATTACATTGCACAAACGTCGAAATGTTTCGTGCAAAACGTGCAAAACGTGCAACACGTGCAACGCGTGCCACCGCCTTGCTGCCATCAACACATTGCTTCCATATTCGGCAAGGGTGCGGTTCAAACAATGTCATGCAAGGGCTCATTTGTACGGAAATCCATCAGGGCCATACTTTGTGAGGTTATTTTCAAGAAATATTGAATTTTTAAGATAGGAACTTGAATTTTCAAGAAAAGAGTATTGATTTTCAAGATAGCATCTTGAAATTTCAAGATTAAAACGAAATGATATTGTGGCCCCAATGGGCTTCCATACATTTCACACCCGTGATTTATACGCGGCCTCATTTCATTACCAGTCTAAATATAGACACCCGTCACAACTCCACCTCTTGTGGACCCGATGGATCACACGTGATCGAGGTACAGAGTATTCAGGAAACCGTGAAGTATTGACGACACCTGGGATTATTTATATCGGGATATTTTCGTGTTAGCGGAACCTTTCAATGGGGACGTTTCTATATATTAGAAGCATATACGCTTCTCTTCGTGTTGAGATTTTCTCACGTCTGTAGATGCATTATTGTACCAACATCTGCAGGGAAACGAAATATCGTCGTTTAGCGTGGGAGTATCAGTTTGGGCGAGATTTGTAAAATGGCTGCCCTTGACGGCAAAGAAAATGGAAAACTCCCTTTGACATGTGCTCAATTGTCAGAAATCATCTTGGTGCTCCGAAGCAGAGACTCCGGCGATGAGAACTAGATTCTTGTTCGAGATACTGACACAATAGAACATTGACTCGTTTCATCAAGTTATTGGAAATGAATTTTCTGACATATGTCATCGTAACGACTGTGGTAGATTTATAGTGATGCTGTATAAAGGTGAACCTGTATATACTATATTCAACTACAATTATGTATTGATGTTTCAGTCTACGTACATTGGAACCTGGTTAATCTGGACAGTTACGTTCTCGTTGAAATCATCCGAAAAAGGATACCTAGGATTAACAATCATTGATAGGGGTTTCCTTTGTATATATAGACGCTATCTGTATTAATCATCTATCCGGACAGCGAGACGTCAAGATTAAGCAGGTTCCACCGTCTATGTTTCAGAGAGTTTCAAATTTTCTGGCCTCAATATTCAGAGTATAGTCCGCTGTGTGTACCGTGTTTAGGTTTTAGCTACGAATAAAAGGTGTCTGTATGTTCCACAAGTGGCATAGATTTGTATTCGTCACTCGTATTATATCTGGTTATTTTCGAGGTGAATTATCGTTCGTGTAAAATAGACATGTTTTCTTAATCCTAGAGATGCTATGTACATTGTTTATTTTGTTACCGTCATTTGTCGATTGCTTACATGGCGAACATGATGTTGTAAAAATCAGGAATAACTTTGCCAAATTGATCAATTTTCAGCTTGCATTTCAATGTACATGTTATTCACTCATCGATCGTATTGTAAATAAAAGCATTTATCGTTAGTCTTTGCTATGTTGTTCTGCAAATCGGTCGTCATCAATTCGGACAAGTAAAACAACATATTATCCTGTGATTTTTGAAACGATGAGGTTTGCTATATTACGCCACAGTCAGCAATATTTCAGCAAACGGTGCAAATGTACACGAGTCTCTCTAAATATAGTGGTAGAAAGACACACAATAAACCAAGTAAGCACGCATAACAACCTGCATAATATACTTATATATTCACTTACGAACACCCCCCTCCACTCACACACATACACACACATACACACTCATATCTTCAGCAACCAATGCTTGCCATTAAAGGCGACTATGCTTGTCGTAAAAGGCGACTAACGGGATCGGTCGGTCAGACTCGCTGACTTGGTTGATGCATGTCATCGATCCCAATTGCGTGGATCGATGCTCATGATGTCAATCACTGGATTGTCTGGTCCAGACTCGATTATTTACAGACCGCCGTCATATAGCTGGAATATTGCTGAGTGCGGCGTTAAACAACAAACCAACCAACCAACCAACACACCCATTTTCTCTCACTAAACTCACATATTACCACAGACACTCCCGTGAAGGTCCGGCTTAGACTGTCAGCCTGTCAGTAGATTGCCCTTATCAGTAGGTACTCCTGTCAGTAGATTGCCCTTATCAGTAGGTATTCCTGTCAGTAGATTGCCCTTATCAGTAGGTGCCCCTGTCAGTAGATTGCCCTTATCAGTAGGTGCCCCTGTCAGTAGATTGCCCTTATCAGTACGTAACCCCTGTCAGAAGATTGCCCTTATCAGTAGGTGCCCCTGTCAGTAGATTGCCCTTATCAGAAGGTGCCCCTGTCAGTAGATTGTCCATATTAGTAGGTGCCCCTGTCAGTAGATTGCCCTTATCAGTAGGGGCCCCTGTCAGTAGATTGCCCTTATCAGTAGGTAACCCCTGTCAGTAGATTGCCCTTATCGGTACGTAACCCCTGTCAGTAGATTGCCCTTATCAGTAGGTACTCCTGTCAGTAGATTGCCCTTATCAGTAGGTACTTCTGTCAGTAGATTGCCCTTATCAGTAGGTAACCCCTGTCAGTAGATTGCCCTTATCAGTAGGTACTCCTTTCAGTAGATTGCCCTTATCAGTACGTAACCCCTGTCAGTAGATTGCCCTTATCAGTAGGTAACCCCTGTCAGTAGATTGCCCTTATCAGTAGGTACTCCTGTCAGTAGATTGCCCTTATCAGTAGGTACTTCTGTCAGTAGATTGCCCTTATCAGTAGGTAACCCCTGTCAGTAGATTGCCCTTATCAGTAGGTACTCCTTTCAGTAGATTGCCCTTATCAGTAGGTACTCCTGTCAGTAGATTGCCCTTATCAGTACGTAACCCCTGTCAGTAGATTGCCCTTATCAGTAGGTATTCCTGTCTCAGATTGCCCTTAGCAGTAGGTGTCCCTGTCAGTAGATTGCCCTTATCAGTAGGTACTCCTGTCAATAGATTGCCCTAATCAGGAGGTACTCCTGTCAGTAGATAGCCCTTATCAGTAGGTAATATAACCCCTGCTAGTGGATTGTCCTTAGCAGTAGGTACTCCTGTCAGTAGATTGCCCTTATCAGTAGGTACCCCTGTCAGTAGATTGCCCTTATCAGGAGGTACTCCTGTCAGTAGATTGCCCTTATCAGT